CTTCAGGGACAAAAGAATTCATCTGTAGGTGCAATATGACCCATGGAGTAGTTTGCAACCTCTGGTTTAAAGAGGGCCACGCTGGATCATCCCTTGATTCCATCACACACAAATATTTGCCTTGCCTGATTTCCTAAACAGTATTAAAACTTGAATGGCAGGTGGGTTTGAAAGGACAAACTGTGTTTAGGCTCTCCAGGCTGGCAAGGAGGTTCCTTCTGAACAGCTGAATTATATGCAGACACCTACTGTGGGTGAAGAACGTGGATCAGTTCAGAGGTCTGTAGTCCCAGATCTTAGTCTGTCACCGGGAACTTGCCATTGACCTCCTAGCAAGAGCTGGGGACTGGGTAAGCCCAGCCAGCCACCTGGGGTACAGATTATTAGGAGGTGCCTATCTCCCTCCAGCCTCAACCCTTCCCCTTGACCTATCTGCATAAGAAGTTGTCCAGGAGACACTTAAGATCTTCCCAGTGCCAGGCTACAATGATGTGACTGAATTCCCCAAAATTGGCAAGTGACATAAATGAGAAGGAAACCTTCAAAAACAGCATATACCAGTTATCCATGGACTTTTCAGATTTCTGTGCAGTTTCTCTGGTACCAGTGATCTGATTCACTCTGAGAGGAGAGCATTTTCAGGGTGTTTCTGACATCTTTGGTCTGGCATTTAAACCATGTATCTATTGAACTTCTGACTTGCTACACTTAGTCTGCAGACAACATCTGAAACTATCTTTTCTCCTGTAATAGCATTGAAAAAAATGTAATCACAAATTTTATTTATTTATTTATTTTTTTCATTTTTTTTTTTGCGGGGAGGTTGGTGTTTTTTCCGGTACCGGGAACTGAATTCAGGACCTTGCGCTTGCCAGGCAGGCGCTGTGCCGCTGAGCTAAATCCCCATCCCCAATCACGAATTTTATTAACTAGGTTTTCTCATTTTTGTTTCATTGGTTGATATTTTCTTTTTGTTTGTTAGTTTGTTTTTCCTTTTGTACCTGTGATGGTATGTTGAGCAGGGAGGACTCTGGTAGAACTGGTGAAACACCTGGCCGTGTTCTCAGCTTAGCTGGCAGGGGCTGGAAACCCACAGCTCACAGCACAGTCACCTTGATTCCCAAGCACACGAAGTTGGGAATGCAGACTTGGCATATGCAACTGCAGTACAAGCACGACTTATCTGGAGGAAACCTAGTATGTGAATCACCAAATGTACAGAACTGGTGGGAACGAAAGGGCAATAATTTGAGTAACAGATGGGGTCTGCCTCACCGAAGGCTGGCCTCCTCCATTAAGAACCTTCAGTGCCAAAAACATCAAGGTTATATTTTTGGTGGGGTTTCTGGAAAAAAAAAAGGCCCTAAATATTGAGTACCAAAGTCAATTGTGCTAGAGGTGAGACTAAGTCATCCCTGAAAACTACAAAATGAGCTGGTGAGCAAGCAGGATTATTTCCTTTCTCCCGCAAGTGGATTTACCTTCCACTTTGCGCGGACCCATTAACTGGGTAAAGGGAAAGACGAGGCCAGTTTTGCAGGCTCTGGAAGGCTGCACCACGAGGCACTGACAGCTGGCCTGGTCCAGTTCTTGAGGGCCAATTTACACCATTGTGCTGTGCAGTCTGGCCCTGCTTCAGGGGCGCACGACACCATAACAGCTTTTGCCACACCAATCAAAGGGGTGTCTTGGTACAAGGGTTAATCATATGAATTGTGCTTTTTATTAGTTAAGTAGTTGCTTGGCTTCTCTGCAATGGGTGACAGCTATAGAAGGAGCATAAAGGCAATGGTAGCTCCATGGAGAGATTGTGGAAAGGCAAAGAGATGTAAAAGCACTAGTTATGGTACAGGGCACATCCCTGTGAGCCATTATCATTTGTGTTCTTCTTCCCCTGGGATGGCATGGGCACCATGGGAAGTTTCACCCATACTATGCTCTTTCTTACATCCCTTGCTGGCTGCCAGGAAAGGGAAGGGTGGAAGGTCCTATCCTTGTCCATTATATGCTGTGCTGAACACTTCCCTATCCAGCATGGCCAAAAATGAGGGTGAGGTGGGCAGAGTTCAGTCTTTTCCGACCCGGTACTGTTCATTTCTCCTCCTCACTGTTCATGGTTCCTTCCCAGACTCATGCCCCAAGTCCTTGTTTACTGCCACAAGTGAAATCAACCTCAGTCTTGATGGAAAGAAGTTTTATGATATTTCCAGCCATAGAAAGACTAGAACAATGGGGTTACCATGTGTGAAATATTTCCACTCATCGCTGACATCCACATACCTTCCTTAAATTTATTTTGAGAGCTTTGCATGAGAAAATCATGACCCAGTCCTTGTTTGCCACTTAATTCTGCCTCAGGCCAGAGAGCAACCACTCCTGAACTATTAGAGTTGGCCTGAATTTGTAAATTGCAAACTTATGAACGACCTTGCTAGAGATAGGGTGTTTTCAATATCCTCCCTGCATATTCTGAGAAATTTAAGTTAATATGTTAAGTTAATGCCCTCACTTATTTCCTACTTATTATTTCATTGCCAAGCTTCTTTATGGTGACTAAACTGTGATTACAGAGAAGTGTTATAAAAAGTCAATGTGTAGATTTAGAAGGTCTGGCGTGTGTTGCAGGAGGCTCTTTAAATGGAGATGTCAGCTCCAGCCAATTTCAGAGTGGCTCGCCATTAAGATGGATAGTTCCAAAGCTGTGTGCCTCTGCTGGAAATTAAAAACCCACGGAATAACTGATTATGATTAATTTTAAGTACTTAGCCATGTGAAGCCCAATGAGAGCATCTTTAAAACAAAGCTATTGATCTGGCTTTGTTTGGAATCGAGAAGATAAACTAATCCAATCCTGTGGGCTCTTTGCAATGATGGGGGAATGAACTTTTGTCATTATTGTTAGCATTATTATTATTTTGAGCACAGATTTCTGAGCCTTGACTTGGAGACACCTGGTATACTGGCAATCAGTGTTTTTTCTAGTGAACGTCTGAATCATGAGGAGTGGTCCAGTTCTGTCTTGAGCAGGGCTTGGTGGGCATGAGGGCAGAGTAGGAGAAAGTCAGGGAGGAAGAAAGGATGACAGTTTACAGTCCCTCCTATGTGGCACGTAAGTTGTCTCTTCTCAAAGTTGAAAAGATTTGGAGAGATTGAGAAGCTTGACCCAAGCAAGTCTCAGGCCTCTGGGGTTCCCCATCCAGGTGAGTCTAACAGTAAAGCCCTCTCTCCACCCGACTGCCTTCCTGCCAAGGGGAGGGGAGAAACTACCACTCTCAGCACAGAAAACAAACCTGAAGGCTGACAGGTTATCACAGCTGTTTCGTGGCAGCTGGTGACTTCTATTTCCTGGTCTCTTCCTAAGGAATTTTGTCATCTTTGTCATTTTCACTGCCAAGGGAGGAAAAGGTGATATGTTCCTAGCAACCCTTTCTGCGCAGTCTCTTTTCATAGGCAGGGAAAATCATGCTGACCCTTCTCAGTCCCAGGCTTCTGATAAGAGAAGTCCAAGGTTACTAATTTTGGGTTGGCACGCTCTCCCGTGCAGACATGCATTTGTTGCTGGTTCCAGGGTCAGAGTTTGGGTGAGGAGAGACTATCCATCTCAAGAATGACAACCTGACCTCCCCTGGCTGTGGGTTATGCCTTTTCTGTACTGGGAATTCTTGGTTTTCCTCTGATTTTAAGTAGCCTGCAGCATCGGCATCCCCTTTTATTTCCTGTAATTCCTCTTGGAATAACCTTCCTCTCAGACAAGGTGGAGGGGCTCTTTCTCACCTTTGCTCATGTCTTCAGGGCCAGGTGAAAAGGAAGGTGATGGGAGAACCTTTTATTCTTTCCTTTGTGTACAAAGGGACATTTTCATATATTCATTCATGTATTTATTTGGCATTTATTCATTGACTCTGCTGGAATCAGACACTGAAAAACCTGTGACTGTGTAATTTTTTAGTTTCAAAGGATGCTGAACAAATCTGACTCTCTTATCACTCACTGGCTGGAATTGTACTATCATAATTATTATTGCAGAATTTGGAAAGAGGGAGTCTCTTCTAAGACAGAGGAACCAAGGCTGTTGTTTTACAAACAAGAAAATTGAGGCTCTGAGAACCTAAGAGACTTGCCCAAGGTCACACGGCTAATTAGTGACAGAATTGGGACTGAATCACACATCTCCTAACACAAGTTCTACTATGCTTTCTTTACTGCTTCCTCTCCAGAGGACAGCTAGAAGTGTTGTGACTGGTGAGAACAATCAGAAGGTTTTCTTACACAATCCAACTTTAGTTGGAATGACCCCAAGATAACTCCTCGCTGACTTTCCCCCCAGAAATCGGCTTTCCTTAGTTAGAACATTGAAAGACCCGGGACATAGAAAGACAGCCATCTATGCCTTCTAGACAAAGTGTAAAGGGTGTGATAACGGGGAGGGGTACCTCTTTTCCTCTTTTTCCCCCTGCCACTTTAAGGTTGCTGCTTAAAGTTTGAATTTGAGCCTGAGATGAGATTCCAAGATCTGCGCCAATGGCTGGACTTCACGAGGCTGCTATTTGGCATTTCCCCTTGTCCTGTGCTGAGGTCTCTTTCTGATTCTGGCTAATTCCAACTGACCCTCCTGTGCTCACCCTCTCACTGGCCCAGACCTGTAACCTGTCTCTCCCCGATGCGCTGGCAGATGCTGGGGGGCTCCTCCAGCCCATCTGTCTCACCCAGCAACAAATACCGCCAGAGCATGGGGGAGAAATGACTCAATTGAGACTTAATTAGCAGGGACCCCAGTTTGTGGGAGGTGAGAAATCACACTTTGCTGCCTGAAAACACTTTGGCCAAGGTGAGCCAGAGGGTTCTCCCGGTTCCCAATTTTAATAGCACTGCAGTAGAAGACCCAGAAACGCACCCACACAGAGCCCCCTGTACACACATCCCCCCTCTCTCCTCCCTACAGAGGCACACTGCGCACACACGCACGCACACACAAGGCAGCGATCGCAAAATCAACTCACAGGATCTCCAGATCGCGCAGCGCTCGGAAGGCTCCATCTTCAATGCAGCTGATGTGGTTGTTGTCCAGTTGCCTGTGAAAAGCAAGGGAGAGCGTGAAGGCTGAGCAGAGGCAGTGCCGAGGGGCTGGGCGGCCGGGCCGGGCGTCCCTGGCCACCGAGCGCCTGTCCCTCCACCCTCTTGCAGGCTGTGCTCATCCCTGCCAGGAGCTCGTGCAGAGCCAGCCTGTCTGCCACGCTGCTCCGTCTCTCCTCTCTGACTGTCTGAGAGAACTACACAGACGAGCGTACCAAAGGCTGTCAGGTCTCAGTAAATATTAATTGCGCATTTTTTTTTTTTTAGGCAGAAGGGAGTAATTTCATTACATTAGGGCATCCAATCCATTACGAGCTCTTACCGTCATGTCACTGAAACAATTTCATTAAGCTAAAGGCCTGTAAATCATTGGAGGTCACTGCTCTGCCCTCCGCGACCTCCCAGAATGCTTTTTCCCCTCTCCCTCGTCTCCCTTTTACTGGAAGTTGCAGTCTTTCTGCTCTGACACAGCGCTAAATCTCAAGGCTTTATCTGCCCAAGAGCGGTGAGGGTGCATAGGGAATATACCAATTCCAAATTAGACTCAACTAATCTAATTTTATAGTCTTTTTATTATTCTAAGCACCAAATGTCTGTGGTGGTTTGATGTCTCCGTGCATTGTTATGGGGCCCATCTGGTAGGTCATTCTACTGAAGCATTTTCTGACTAAATACAGATTCCCTCAAACTGCACCAACCATCATCAACATTAAAGAAATTCATTGATAGAGGCGTTCATGATGGGGGAAAGAAAGGAATATCATTATTGCCTTAAAGATGTACCACTTACATTTAAATTGGGGAGAATTAAATGCACCTATTTCAAGATTCCTTTTTTTTTTATTTCCCTTTCCATCCTATGCACATGAAAATAATGTCTTTTTAAAAGATGACTTGACTAATACACATTCTAGTTAGGGACTGAGGTATTTTAGTTAGAGGATAGCAAATAGATACAATTTTCTCTAAACGAATACACATACAGGATGAAAAAAGTCAGGATATTTACCATGGTCACAGCCAACCTAAATATCATATATTATATGTAATATTTAATTCCTTAAAAAACCCAAAATGATGTTCAAAGAAAATTATTATTAACACTGTAATACCTATTGTAGAATACAGTACACCACGGCCTTTGGACGGGGCAAGTCAAATAAAGTAGGACAGTAGTAAAAAAGAAAAACAAACTCCTTTACCGAGACTCATTTGTTTTTCTTTTTCTCAGAAAAATTGAGTCCCTCTCAGGTGGAAGGACTTCCTGTGGCCGGAATTTGCATTTGTACCTTGTGTTAATCTGTACCACGACAAGTCTCTGCAAAAGATACTTCAAAGGGACAGTGGGAAACCTCCCTGGAAGGTTTTATTGTCTTACCAGAGAAAGACAGAAGTGAAACTAAAATATTTTCATTGAAAATGTCAATAGATGTAGGATTGTATAAATGCACACAAATGAAACACCTCCAGTTACTGATGCTGGGTGTTGTTACAAGTTCTGTCATGACATCACGGGCAACTGCATCATCCTAATAGAATTCACACTACAAAATTTAGATGCTCAGAATTAAGAAATAAGCAGAGGCAGGTCTCTAAGAAGCAGAAGGATGCTTTAGGTTGATAAGTTCTATACCTAGTGTCCAAGTTCTCACTGACACCCACACACTCATATTCTCACTGAGACCTCCTTACCCTTAATTCTCCCAAAGCCGCTCTCAGTACGGATTTGCTGTGCTCTTCCTGTGGGTTTTGGGTGGTGCAGGGACCGCTGATTCCCTGCAGAGGCTCTGTTAAGGAAGTCTAGTACTGCTGCCCAGATTCTAGAGTTATCATCAATTTAAAGGCCAATGAATCAACACCCCACACCCCACGCCAAGGCTACCAAACCTTACCAAGCAGAAATGCAGTGAAATTGGCTTTGGGCTCAAAGAAATTGTTCAATGAACATGCTGAATTCGGCAAAAATGGCACTCCTTGCCTAAGTAGAAAAGTATCTAAGTCATCATATTGGGAAGTCAGGGGTGTGGAGAGATGGCGCACCTGCTTTTGTGCACATTTCAGAGAAGTCTTTGCTGTTATTTATTGTTGCTTATTTGTGGATTTGAGGAGATTTTCCCTGCTTTTTCTTTTCGAGAACACTAGAAACTAAACAGATAACTAAATGTACAGGATTTTGCATGAAAATGTGGAATCCTCAAGCTAAAACAGAAAGTTATAAAAGAGCAAAAACACAATTGTAGAAAGAGAATAAATAGGGGGAAAGGGAGAAGATGAGCAATAGATTTGAAAAATCCACTCCTCAATGTCCCAACAGAGTCCTGCAGCCCGTGAAGAGCCTTTGGGAGGATCCAGTCATTTTAAGGCTAAAAGCAGAGACATCTACAACATTATTAATTACGTGATGTTTAAATATTTTCAGTGAGTGACACAAGTTGACATCTCGTTGTTTATTTGTAATGGGGAAGACTGAGCTGTAATGTAAGCACCTCTGCGGGTGTGTTTTATAGCTTATGTTAGCGCATATGAAATGTATCAGAATTTAAAATATTTATGCTGAAGTGTGCTTTCCTAGGAGATATTTATTATATCTGAGATTGTCTCCTTTCATTCTAACCACAGATAAACCAAACAGGAATTGTGCCCTAGCCTTGAGAGTCATTCCTTGTGAGAATCTACAGGGATGTGCCTTTGGGGGATTCATCCGGCAACGAAAACCACCCCAGAAAGTACCCTACACCCCAGTTTATATATCTCCTTAGCACCCAACATCAGAGCGCTCATACAAAGCACAATTAATAGTCCACCATCATTCCCAATCTCTTATGCAAATATGCGCGGTCCCTAAAACAAAGTAAACACACACTCAGTTCCCATGGTGTTTCTTTTCTTTCCAAATGACAGCTCAGAGACTTAAAAGTTAGTCCTGAAGCACAGGAAAGGAGAGGAAATAAACACAAGCCCAACACCTCCTTGAGGGCCGCAGAGCAGGGTGCTACTAAACATGCTGAGATGAGCCGAGGCCGAAGCATTTGACTTCATAGTGTGTTTCTGGTGGCTGATGTGCCCACATCGTGCCTTTGAAAAGATTAATTCAGAGTGTTTTTACAAAACAAATGAAAAAAGACCATTATATACACTGCACCAGGCACACATCACTCTGGGGATGGGTGAAAAGCAAAGTTGGAAATGCGAGGAGAGAGAACTGGGCAGTCCAAGCATGCCGAGAGCTCTTTCTTCTATTCTTTCCTTGGCAGTGGAAGTGTATTTCTCATGCTGTACAGTCCCTCTCTTTCACCAGATAACTTACCCCAGTGCCCACTTGGTGCCACGTAATCCACAGATGGTCTCTAGCATGTGTAGAATGATACTTCTAATGAAACTGCGTCAAGGCCAGGGCCGAAGTACACAGAAGAAAGTGCTCAGCTCTGAGGTTCACCACCCAGGCGGGAGCCCCACAACCCTTCCCCAAACAATGAAAAATGACTGAGCATTCGCTCAAACCCTCAGTGGGCTCAGTCTCCCAGATTCTCTGTCTTTCTGAAACACAGAATGGACACCCAAGAAGGGAGTCGTGGAATCAAAAGAGATTTCAGCGGGGCCAGGATGAAGCCGAGCAACAAAAGCTGGCTCCTTTTGGAAGCAACTTTTATTATCCTCTACTTTATATAGAATCCCCGTTTGATTTACACTCCCCTGTCTCTGAATAAGCCAAGAAGCCCCCAAACATTGCACAATATTAAGTTAACTGCTCTAATTTCCCGGGGAAGCTCGGATTTCAGCAAACAATGAGTGCTAAAATTTCAGCAAACAATGAGTGCAGGGTCTATTTAGAAAGGAATCCTCACACAAGAAATAAATGCAGACTCCCTGAGAGCAGCATTTTGACTACTGTATTTTTATATTCAGAGAATATAAGCAAGTTAGAGAGAAAAGCCAGCGTGAGTGAGGACTTAATCTCCACAGACCACGGACAGTGAGATAGCACTTTTATAAGAATTTCCAATCCCTAAGCATAATATACTCCTATTATCACAGTTTAATTCTTTTGATTACAAGTCCAGATTTAATAATTGAAATGTGTTAGAAATATTTTTGTGGTTCAAAAATTTGAAGCTCATCTAAATCCTTTAAAAAAAGTTTAAAAACCTGATTACAACATTAAAGCAGTCTGTCTCCCATCAACAACCAAACCAAAAAAAAGAGAGAGAGAGAAAGAGAATAAAACAATAACAGAAACGAAATAATAAAGAAAAATCAGAAAGTTTCAGGATTTAAATGATGCACTGAAGTTCCCATGACAAAGACCTGGGAAATAGTAATCTCCAGAATTAAGCTTTGAATATTTGGGAAAAAAAGTTGAATTCCCAACTAGTAATCTAGGTACAAGGTTTTTCATACCACGACACATCCATCCAGCTGTTTCCCTCTTGTCCAGATGTTCTGGGGGCCCCAGTGTGTGTCAGATGGATGACTAAACTTAGCCTCAGGCCACTGTTGCTCCAAGGGCCCCACATCCAGCAGCAGCATTTTGCTCTAGGACGACTGGCAGCTAGAATTGCCGCAGTCCTCTTTATGCAAAGTGGAAGAAATAGCTGAGGCTTAGCACCCTCTGGAGTTAAAGCAATTGTTAGTTTCTCAGTAACTACCTACACAAAACCTGTATGAAATTCACAAGGGAAGCCTTAGTAGAAATCCAAAGCAAGTTCATGGTCATGGAGTCCATCATTTAATTAAGGATCAATGTGTTATTAGATCCAGGAAAGGATCGGAGTATTATTAGAAGTTTGTACTGTATTAGATATTCAGGATATAGAATGAAGCATACCATATCCTTTGAAAATATTTGGGAGGTTACCTAATCTGTGTTGTTTTTACACATCATTATCTTTAAAGCTATAAAAGAATTTTAAAATCTAAACTGAGTTGAATTTGTTTTTGATGAGATACATATGTTCATATGCATATGTTTTGAGGTGCACTTTTTTTTTTGGATACTGGG